TGTTTAGATAAAGTTGTATATCAGAGAAAATACGAATTTTATACATATTTGATGTTTAAAATTAATAACAGCATAAACATAATAGCATAAAAAAAACCAGTTAAGTCAAATTACGATACGTAGTTAATTTACGATAGTTAAATTAGAATACTTGTTATTAGTAAAAAAAGGCTATTACAATAAAATCATATACGTATTAAATGTTTTTTTTTTGATACTTTGTTATAATTGCAGTATTAAAAAAAAAACTTACGATAGAGAATGGAAAAATGTATAAGTTTTTTTTAATATTTATAGTTTTTGCAATATAACAAGAATTCACATAATAATTTACCAAAATATAATTACTAAGCCATTTATAATTATGTAAAGTAAATAACACCATTTACTACACCAAATAAAATAGTCTAGAGAGGAAAAATAAACTGTATAAAATTTTTTTTCATCAATTTAACCAAAAAATCCTTACAATACTAATCCAACAAAATAATAAATGCACATGTCTAGAAAGATTGTTAACATTGTGTAATAGTAATAAAGTCGATCCAAAACAAAACGTATATATTAATGATATAAAAACCAAAATATAAATTGGTTTAATATAGGTTACGTAAAAAATCATTGGAAATAAACAAGAAAAATTAGCGAATAAAAAAATTAAAATAAGGTAGTTATAAATTATTAATTTTTCTTGCCAAAAATTTTGCTGCCTTTTGAGACGCTACAGAAACAAAGAGAATTTTTAGTTTTTTTTTCTAATTATGAGAACAAAATACACGCTCAAAAAAACATGTAGCTAACTACAAATAGACAAATAATTACCTTGCACTTCGATTGGCATTATATAACTCTTGGAATTCACGCTCTTCTGCTGCGAGCGCTAAGCGTTGTTCTTCTAATTCTGCCATGAGTTGCTGTCGACGTTGGTTGAGCTATTTTTATTTGGACAAAAAAAAAGTCAATAAATCGAGAAAATTGGGTAACAAAATTTTAATAATAGTAATTGAATCCTATAAATCACCTGTTCTTCCCTTTCTCTTAAGTTTGCTTCTTTCTCTCTAACTTTCAGTACAAAGGTTTGCCGCATTTCCTCTTCTTTCTTAATCATTTCTTCCGCCATACTTTGTTTGCTTCTTTCAATTCTATGTTCATAAGAATCATCACAAGCAAGAATCGATTCTGGACGACCACTAGAACGAAGTTTTTGGGCACGATAATTATGATAATGCACTGTATGGCTTGTCTCAAGAAGATCATGAAGAGCATGTGTCATAAGAAGTTCACGAAGATGAATGAAATCACAATGTTGTTCATTTTCAACTATTGATAAATAAATTAATATTTTACGAGAGTTAATAAAAAGGGTAATAAACCACAAATAGGATATATATATAACTAACCTTCCACAATACCCCATCGATATGATCTTCCTCGTACTTTTTTTCCACCAACATCCACAAATTGATCACTGCCAATTACTGTGAACGGGATATATTTCTAATAATGCAGTAATATTAATGTTAGCATTAAAAGATTGTTGAGCAAAGTAGAAAAAAAATAATAATAAATACCTCAAGGTCTTCAACGCTTTCCCGATCGTCTGGATATGCAGTTGGGAAAATTCTAATATCATTAGCTTCAATATCTCTTAATATCTATATTATAAATAATAAATATGAATTGTTAGTAGATTCAAAAATACAACAAATGCATATGAACCATAATCATTTATCATTTATTACAAATTACAACATAGGCATACACACAGTTTTCTTAAATGCAGCTTTCTCTTCTTGTGTGAGAGTATCAGCTTTTGCGATAACTGGAATTACGTTTACTTTAGCGGATAAAACTTGAAGGGCCTTAATATCAAGTTCTTTAAGGCTATTAAGAATATAGTTAGAGATTAAACAATAATATTAAAGCAGAGTAATACACGAAAATAAAACTTACGCGTGACCGGTTGGAGCAATAAAGTATAGAAGGGCATGTATGCGAGTATCTGGAATGGCACGTCTAAATTCGGGACTACGTTCAGCAGTATGATAAACCTCGAATTGATTATCAATATACTCAACAATAGGATCAAGGCTATAATGAATTAAAATTTAATTAATTAATTATTTTTCTTTGATAGAAATAGTATAATTGAAATAAATGAGAGGTTAACTCACTTGTGTTCACGATTAAGCTGGTCACCAAATCCAGGTGTATCAACAACGGTAAGATTAAGGGTAACACCGTCTTCAACCAATTCTGAAATATAAAAGATAAATTTAATATATAAAGAACTTATTAAAAGATTAAATCTCAATAAATAACAACTTAGAAACACTAACCATAATGTACAGGACTAATTTCCACAGTTTGTGTGGATTGGGGATTTTTAGGATGGATTTCTTCTTTAAGGGGTGTATTGAACAGAGTATTCATAAAAGTAGTTTTTCCAAGACCACTTTCGCCTTTTTTTGATAATTACAAGGTTTATAATGAATAAATTCAATTATATCAATTGAATAAATTGTAAACTCGGTGATAATACATACCAACAACCATAATATTAAGAACATAAGGAGTTCTTTTTGTCTTGTTGAAGCGTTGTCGAGGAAGAGCCTCAATCCCAAGCGTGTCCCGAAGGACAACTTCTCGAGTTTGAGGGATCTTCCATGGACCAGGATCGGGGAAATAACCTCTAAAATAATTGACAAATGATTGGTAAACACATATTTAAGTAATATAACAGTATTTATATATAAAAATTTCGAGTTTCTATATTAAATTTTGCACATTTAAATAAGCGACACCAAGTCTCATCGTGGGTAATAAAAGGAGGTTATTAATATCGCGAAGTCCATCTTGTTGTGTAAACACATTTATTTACCTGTGTTGAAGAGCGTATTCCTGTTAGAAACGTAGGTAAAGTGATAAAGGGGAAATGAAAAAGGCCAGTTACTTGAATGTATTATTGAGAAGCAGGGCAAGAAAAACCAAATGGAATAGACAAATAACCTACCAAAGGCATTGTATCGGCAAATAAGTAAAATAAGGGAGCGACTTTATCTTAGGAGAAACGAATGGAACAGGGATTGAAATTGAGTTGGACTTTACTGTGGGAAAACT